GAAACTCATCTGACTTTACTCCAATGTTTCCCAGTTTGCCTGAGTATGGGATCCTTTCTCATTCCTCTCAACATCCTAGGCAGAGTGGTATGCCTTGGAACCCCAGTTTGGGAAACACTATCTGGATAATATTTCTTTGTTTATTTATTTATTTTATGATTTATTTATTTGTTTATTGTTTATTTAAACAAACCAGGGGACCCCCAATTTTTCAAAGCTGCTCTGAGCCATAACAGCACAGTGGAGTGTGAAGGGGTCTGCTGTACCCAGATTCTGCTTCCTGCCTACCTTGTCCCTCCCCTTCCTCTGTGGCCTGTGCTGTGACAGGTTTGGGAAATCATGCTGGTAGATGTGCACAGAAAGCCCCAAGGCTCACTGCCCTTGAGAATGAAGAACCAGGCTGGTACCTGGGCAGGCATGGAGCAGAACATCCTTTTCAAGTTCATGATTTCTTCACACCAGATGCTGGCCACACAAAATAAGAACAGCACTCAGGATTTACTCTCCCCAAATCATAGTTACTGATGTTATCCTTTTTGTCTCACAAGAAACCGAGTGGGTAATCCTGAAACAATTTTCCTTATTTCAAAGAATAGAGGCACTGAAACCCATAGATTCTCAAGGTCACCAGGCCCCAGAAGCTGCAGGGTATGAACAAAAGTACGGGTCCTGTGCCTCTCCAGCGAAGGCTTTTCCCTCTTCTGGATCAGGTCCCTCTTTGAAGGTAAAACTATTGCTGGAAGAGACAGCTAAAGGCCCAAGAGAACTCCCTTACACAGGGAGGTAAGCCCACTTATTCCTGGGCCAGGAGAACCTGACAATCTTTAACAGACGCTCTACGCTGGTAGCCTACGGGTTCAATCTAGCATATGGATTTTATTCAATCACATTGTTGGGTTGTTTTTTAGCCATCGACATTTAAAAGTCAAGAAATTTCCCCTTATAATCTGGATTCCAGCTTCTCTTGAAAATGCTGGAGACACAGCCACACCTTGGGTCTGCATTTCTGTGGCAACCAGGAGCTGGCAGAGTGCTCTCTGTCTTTCCAAATGGACCCATCCCCTCTGGTTCACTGCCTGCCTCCTGCCTACATCACTCACTGATTTACCTGCTGGGCCCTGTGGACACCGGGGTTTGACCCCCGCCTGATTTGTAGATGATGGTCTTGTTTCCAAACCACCAGACAGAAGGGTAGGTGCAAGTGGATGGACACAGGGGTTGCTAAAGGAAGAGGGGGAAAGCACCAAGAAACACATCTTCTAACGTCTGGAATAACAACTTCCACCAAAAATAAAAACAAGTTTCTGCAACAAAGAGAATATGCAGACATAAATTCCCTTTAACCAGCAGCCAAATGTTTTAATATTTATGCCTGGATTTTCCCAGGCAATTTTAATTCACATTTGCACTTTGGCTATAGAAAATAAAAAGGAAGACGGGGTACAGAATGTGCAAAATACTGAAAAATGCCATCATTTAAATGGAATTGAATCCCTTTCAAAACACTGTGTCCAGTGAAGCTGTTGCCTTGAGAGGTATTTTGTCAGTTCTGTGCACCACTCAAAACCCATGAAAGCTATAAAAACCACCTGCCATCTCAATGGACTCCAGATTCATTTGCTCTGGGGTTGGATTCTAATGTGGCCCCTTTGCAGCGGGAGCAGAGCTGGGGGCGACAGCTGAGAAGCTGCTCAGGCCTGTGACAGGTGAACTTGTTATATAACATTTCAAAGCCACACACTGTTGTATGAAGAGGCAATTCCATCCAGGGGCTGCCACATCCCAAACTGAACTTTGTCAGGTCTGACTGGTGGCAGCGGGGACACACCGATACAGCAAGAACGTACTTTTTCAAGTCCTTCAGAGTTCAAGAGTTCACTATGGCTCTTTCTTCCAGCAAATTCACTTTATATGGGCTGTGGAGTTGGCCAGCTGGGCATTGGACTGATATGGGGATAAATTTCTCCCCAAAGCAAACTCTCAAATCAGCCCAACTTCCAGGGGCAGGTGCACATTGTCCCCTCCAGGGAGCCCTCCACCACTTCTCCAAGCCTCCCACTCTTTCCTCCCAACGGCTGGAGTCCTTGGTCAATTTAACACTTAATCTGCTTACTTATCCTTTTTACATGTGGACCCTTATGACTGGAAGCTAAACAAACTGGTCCCTCAGGGAGGAACAGGGTCTTTTTTTTTTTTTTAATATTTATTTACTTTTGAGAGAGACAATGTGTGAGCAGGTGAGAGGCAGAGAGAGAAGGGGAACAGAGGTTCCGAAGGGGGCTCCGTGCTGACACAGAGAGCCTGATGCAGGGCTCGAACTTGAGAATTGTGAGATCACGACCTGAGCCAAAGTTGGACACTTAACAGAATGAGCCACCCAGGTGCCCCTCCTATTTTTCTTTGCAAGTACACATGCAGTAGGTGCTTTGCAAGAACAGCAGTAGGTATTCTGGACACAAGACTCGGGCTCTAAGTATAGCAAATAAACAGCAGAAACATGAACCTGGGGACCCATGGGACTGTGGGGACAGCCCAATGGCTCTGGTGATTCCAAACCATTGGTTCTGCCTGAGTCCTGCCTGGCACGCCCACACTCCCTGGAGGAGAGGCAGTACCCAGAAATGACTGAGACACAGTTCCTACCAGCCTGGCAGGATGGAGGCTCCAATTTACAGAAAATGATACATGTTACACATCTGAGTTTGTGGGGAGAAATTTTCATTGGCCTCAAATGGAGCTCAAAGAATGACACAGGAAAAAAGAAAGTGTTATCAGCCTAGGTACAGAGGAGGGAGGGAATGCAAACAGGTGGGAGGAGGTGGCAAAAGGCCCCAGGAGCAGAGAAGGGGATGTGAGTGTGTCCCAGATCTGGGACTAGTAGGTTTGCTAATGGCACAATGCTAATAATGATTTCCCTATTGGTCTCAGTAGATACATGGATCCTTGTTGTCAGTCCCCAAGGACAAACTACTAAAGGCCATCTAGAAGCCCCCGAGGAAGCAGGGCATCTTCTGAACAGAGGTCTAGCCCCAGGGGAAGACACTGGGGTGCAAAAACCATGCTGTGTCACCTTGTAGGTGGCTGTCCCCTACAAAAGGCCATTAACCAAGTTTCACAAACCCCCTTCACCAGCAAGAAACAAGCCTGGAACATGGTTGAATGAAGGATGAATAAGTCTATCCATCCGTGAGGCCCATGTCTACCATTCATTCACTAAAGAAGTACTCAGCACCAGCTCCCATGTTCCACATGCCCTCCAAATGGTCTGGCACAAAAGATATAGCAGGGAACTAGGAAGACATGGACAGACATGGGACCCACCTTCGAGGAGCTTGCCCTTGAGCTGGGGGAGAAGACTACCAAAAACTGACCCATGAATCATTTCAGGTAGGGATTGATACTAAAGAGAAGGAAAGCAAGAGGAGAGAATGAAAAAGTATTGGAAGAAAAATTATCTAGATGGTCGCCTGCAGAAAGGGTGACATTTGAGCAGAGACATCTGTGGAGACGTGAGGAGGAGTGTTCCCAGCATGGGAAGAGGGGACACAAAAGGCCTAAGGCAGGAGTGAGTGTGGCCAAGTAAAGAGGGGAGGCCCATGTGGCTGAAGTACAAGGCGGGGGGGGGGGGGGGGTGGGACTTGGTAGGAGGGGCTCCCTGTGCTGCCACTCACTATCCACATGTGCACGTGGGAGCGGATGCCACTCCTCTCTCTCCCATCCCACCATGCCCTAGCCCTGGAGGGACATGTGGGAGGAAGGCTCTCTGGCTGCTCCCACCCCTAACCTGAGCCCCTAGCACCACTAAGAACCAGTAAACTCTGGCCCTAAGAGGAAGCTCACGGAGTGCCCAACCTTCACTGAGATAAAATGGAGTTTTCCAAACCACAATTTTCTGAATATCCCCTTCAGGCCCAACATTTATGTTTGATACCAGCTCAAAGGAAATTTGCTCTCAAAGCATCTGTTACATCTATCTTGATATTTTTGCATGTAGAGGAGCCAGAAACCCAAACAGTGCCACGGTTTAAAGAAGATTTCGAGGCTTCTGTCTCCCTGCTTGAATTATTGAAGCCATTCTGAGCTCTCCAGATGGAAACATGAGAGGAAAATGCTACAAAGGTCCTGAATCAGGCCCTTCTGACGGGGTCTGAGGGGACAGTGTGCACCTTGACCAAAGACCCAGGGACCTGCCCCAGAAGGAAAAAGTAGAAAAGGTGAGGTGAGAAGTCAAAGTTCAGCAGTGTGGCCTGGTGTCCTCCTTACATCTCTCAGCCCCTCTACTCCCCCAGGCAGCTGACTGACTCTTCCAAGGACCACCACTGCAGGGGCAACCTCGGCTCCTACAGCACACCGCCCATGAGGCAAGTGAGGGCTCACTCAAATGCACTCTCTCCTGAAAATCCTTCCAAGGCCCCCCACTACCCTAGAGACAAAGTTCAAGTACATTTCACAGTCCCCCCCCCCAGCCTCCCTCCATCCAGCTGGACCAGTGTTTCCCAGAAACCTGTCACCGTGCTCATAATGGGAAATATGTTTTGCAGGAGACCCAGTTTACACACCCACACAGGTTTCTGAAACACAAGTTCCAAGAAACCATGATCCTTAGGATGTACTATGAGCTCTGATGTTTTCAATCCCATCTTATTCTATTTGTTTTTAAAGCCGGTCATGACACAGTAAATTGGTTTCATGACCCACGAGCAAATCATGAACTACAGTTTGTACAATATACTAAAACGATTTCTGCAGTCTGTCCAAATTGCCTTCCACTCCTGTCCCTCTGAGATTTCTTACATGCATTTCTGGCGAGATTTCCTTTCTCTTCCCTAGTCAACCCTTCTTCTGCGAATTCAGTTGTTTTCAACCTTGGCTGCAGATTAGAATCACACAGCGTGCCTTAAAAATATACAGACTCCAAGATGGCGTCGTCCATACCAGTGAAGGAGGAGAAGCTCGTGGATGTGAGGCTAGGACAGCTGTCAAGCTGGATAATGACACAGGATTTCACCCCTAAAGGCATTCCTGGAGCATTTCAAAGAGGTTACTACCAGTATTACAACAAGTGTGTCTATGTGAAGACAGGAGGCGTTGCTGGGATTTCTATGGTTCTGGCAGCATATATGCTTTTCAACTACTGCTGTTGTTACAGAGAACTCAGACAGGAGCAGCTATGCAAGCACCACTGAAGAGGGCCCAGTGTGGAGGCACATTCGGCATTCCTGACCGTGAGCTTTTCCCGGCACCCTTGAATCCTTTCATATCCTGATTCAGAATTACCATCCAATAAAAGATGACTGGTTAAAAATACACACACACACACACACACACACACGCACGCACACACGCGCGCACGCGCGCGCACACACACACACACAAATACCTGGACACCCTTTCACACCAGTCCCCCCAGATTCTGATTTAGTTATGTGGAGCCCTACCCACAGTGCTTAGCACACAGAAGTAAGTATTTGCTGTATGAATCTGCAAGGAAGGCCCTATTATTGTCCCATTTTACAGCTACAAGTGGAAGAGGTGGGATTAGAACTCAGATCTGCCCAGTTCCAGAGGCAGAGCCTCCTAACCAGTACAGGAACTCCCTGTCATAGCTCAATAGGCAAGAGACACAACTCACAGGTGTTGCCAGTCCTTAAGGATGAAGATCTAGGGGTGCCTGGGTGGCTCAGTTGGTTAAGTATCCAACTCCTGATTTTGGCTCAGGTCATGATCCCAGGGTCGTGGGATCCAGCCCTGCATCAGACTCCATGCTGGGCTGCTTAAGATTCTCTCTCCTTCTGCCCCTCCCCTGCTCGCATGTTCTCATGCGCTCTCTCTCTCTCTCTCTCTCAAAAAAAAAAAAAAAAAAAAAAAGGATGAATGAAGATCTACAGAAAGCCATTAGGTATCATAGCAGGACTGTTTTGCTCCTGGCTCTTTTCTGGCCCTGGGTTCACACAGCATCCCTACAACAGACTTGGTCCCCAGTCTCTCATATTTCCACTCTGCTCTCTTACTAAGGGTGTTCCAACCCAGCTCCCATATTCCCCATGCCATCTGGACACTTCCAAAGGGATGTTCTGTCAAATAATATGACTCATTCCAAACTCTTTCTTTCCCTTCTCTCACCACCAGCCTTACCACCCCATGCTTAATGCTTCTAATTATCTAAGTTCAAGATTTCCCAACCTCAACAGCTTTGACCAGTCCCTTCCTCCTGACTCCCCCAAACCATCATGCTGGGCACCCAGTCTCCAGTGTTGCCACTCCCCAGACTCCACCCCATGACCCCACCACTTCATCAGCCCACGGCAAGCTTCCTGACATTCATTGCCTCTTTCCTGTGGACCATAGCAGCGGTCTCCACACATCTTTCTGTTTCCAGATTCCCCTCACCTATCTGCCCCCACAAATAGGATGTCTGACCAAACCCCAACTTTGGCCAAGTCTCTTCACTCAGAATCCTCCAGAGAGTCCATACTAGCCCACAGTGGTAGATAAAACTCAAATGTCAGAGTCCACTGCTATGAAGCAGTAGGAAGGGGCCTTTCCAGCCACATTTCGCCATGGTTCTGCCACATGTGTCTGCATCCCCAACTAACAGGTCTGCTAGGCATGCCATTTCTCAGATATGCCTCCTATTCCCACCCTCACCCAGGCATCAGTATCACCCAAATGCAGGAAGAGGACTCAGGAGGGAATAACATGACCAGGAGGACCAGCCCAAAAAGCCAAATGTTCCAGACATTACTCAATTCCCTCCATGTTAAAACCATGGCAACCAATCACAGCTCAGGTTCATTTACGAACGAATGGCAGGACCATGGGGTTATGGAAGTCTGGTAATATTAACTGTGAAAAAAGGTGGGGACAGACAAGGTTTCTAACAGGACCATGGGGGAAGTGGGTACAGAAAAGGCAGCACAAAATTATGGCAGCGAGGAGGGCTGTCAGCCTAGAAATGACACCAGGTAATGGGGGTTTGATGGGATATAGGGGAAAGGAATACTGGTCCTTTCCCCTCAAATGAGATACATTTTCATAAAAGGAGGATGTTTTTCCAGGATGTCAGTCTGCTTTAGAGTAGATAAACTTTAGAAATCTTCAGGGAAACATTGTTGAGAAATACGTTCCCCTGAGCAGAGCTTTCTTTACTCCCAAACTCAGGGAAGGTTGGGACCTTTCACACATAAGGAATCAATCCCTAGATGCCCATCCCATGACCAAACCTCTTCAATCGAGTGCTCAAGGGTCCCCAAGTCAAATCCTCCCTACCTTGCACCCTGTCTCTATCTCAGGCCCGATGCTCCCTTGCCTGGGTTGAGTTGATTGGGGTCCTTACTTTGACATTCCAAACGACTAATTGAGAATAATTACAACTCTTAATTATATTTCAATCATTACATACCAACACCACAGCTGTTTTTAAGTTTTATTTTTCATTAAAGCAATGTTTTCAAGAGCCTGTTTAAAAAGGAGGGGAAAAAACTACTGAATAATCATTTATAATTTGAAAGTAAATAAGAACAAATTATGATCATGTTTGTGAAACAAAATGCTCTATCCAATCCAGTTAGCTATTAACCTAGAAATCTCTTCAAGTCACCTGGAGCTTCAGATTCATGTACCAAGCTTAGTGATCCTGACTCAAAGATTCCAGGGTTGGTTTCCAGTAAGTATAGACCTAAAGCTATTGGGGGTTGAAAAACCCAAAACCTATGGAGTTTCCCAGAAAATATGGCAACAAAAAGTGTGGTCAGGCCCAAAGGATGGAAATTCCAAAGTAGAAAACTCCTATAGAGCATAATAATTGCACTGATACAGCATTTGCCATCTTAGAATTTACATTCAGATGCATTTGTTCATAGCTCCAAGACTCCTCTTCTTTGTGGCTCTTAACCTTTGGAAGACATAGCATTGAAAACTCTTCCCCAGAAAAATACACATACACAGAACATACACAATATTTTGCATACAATTTTAAGAGGATCACAAATTCATAAGCCTATCCATGATTTCCTTAAGATTTATGACTTCCAAGATATCTAATGTTCATTTGTTTGTTTTTAGTACGCGGGAAAAGCATGGAGGCACATGAAAGTTATAATCGTTATGAAATTTTTAGGCATGATTATTTACAATTATTTCTACAAAACACTGAGTGCCTACTATGTTCCAGGCACTGGACTAGTTGCCAGAAGAGAGCAAGGGTGTGGTGATGAATCAAATAGGACCCCTTAAGGAACTCAGTGGAAGAGGCAAGGAGAGGATGGGTGTTAAACTGAGGAGGAAGGAGGAGCTATTAAGTGCTGGGAGAATTTTATTCCTGTGATACTGCCAAGCTTTGACCTTGCTGCCCTATGAAAGCTTCAGGTGGGGTCAGAGGACAGGGAAGTGACTTAGCACAGAACATGCAACAATGGCATTAATATGAAGACCTGAGACCCAGACTAGGAATATCCGTCCCCTTAAAGCAAGCCCTTGACCCAGTGGCCATGGACTGTGACCAGTTCATTCATTAATTACCAGGGATATGCTGTTTTCTTTTTTTTTCTCATTTTTTTTAACTTTTATTTATTTTTGAGACAGAGAGAAACAGAGAATGAACGGGGGGAGAGTCAGAGAGAGAGGGAGACACAGAATCTGAAACAGACTCCAGGCTCTGAGCTGTCAGCACAGAGCCTGACACGGGCTCCAACTCACAGACTGCAAGATCATGACCTAAGCCCAAGTCGGACGCTTAACCGACTGAGCCACCCAGGCACCCCTGGATATACTCTTTTCTAAGGATCCTACACAAGCAGTCCAGGAATAGAAACTCACCACGGCAGAATCATGTGCTCATTTCTGAACCCCTGAATCTGAAATGTCCTCATTTCTGAACCCCTGAATCTGTCAACAGTCCTCAAGGTCCATGTCTGTGACTTTTGTACCTTATACATTGTCACTCCTAAACTGTTCTTGTACTCCCAATTTGGCTGTCCTAACTGATGGACAAACACTTCAAGCTATTACTGGATGGCCTTGGTCCCCAAACAACAGTTGTGTTTTGTAAACTTTCCTACATTTTTATGTGGGTCCTTATTTTCACAAATACTTGAATATTAGATCATAGGAGGGAAACCAAAAGCCTATTGCTAGAGAAAAAAATCCAAATACATTTTGCATAATTTAAAAAAAGATGAGAATTATTAGTGAGCCAAAAGCAGTACTTCTTTATATCCAACAGTACATACTGGATATAAGCCAACAACTATGTGTTTAATTTTGAAAAATAAGAAAAACACAAACATATAAGACTTTCACTTAAGTGTGATTGAATGACCACAAACATTTACATATGTTTTCTCCTTTTCAAAACCCACTAAAATAATAGTGTTTTATTTCTTTTTATTTATTTCAAGAGAGAGAGCACACAAGCAGGGGAGGGGAAGAGAGAGAGAGAGAGAGAGAGAATCCCACTGCACTGTCTGTGCGGAGCCCAGTGTGGGGCTTGATCTCACAAATTGTGAGATTATGACCTGAGCTGAAATCAAGAGTTGGACACTTAACTGACTGAGCCACCCAGGTGCTCCAGTTGTGTTCTTTTTAAAATATAAATTTCTGGGGCGCCTGGGTGGCTCAGTCAGTTAAGCGTCCGACTTCAGCTCAGGTCACAATCTCGTGGTCTGCGAGTTCGAGCCCCACGTCGGGCTCTGGGCTGATGGCTCAGAGCCTGGAGCCTGCTTCCGATTCTGTGTCTCCCTCTCTCTCTGCCCCTCCCCCGTTCATGCTGTGTCTCTCTCTGTCTCAAAAATAAAGACACGTTAAAAAAAAATTTTTTAAATATAAATTTCCAAAGGATAGAAGTATAACAAAGGAATAATCAATGAAATGAAAATTTTCCACAAATTTTGGGAAGATATAAAATGGAGGATTGGGAAACTTGCTCAACAGGGTCATAAAGCTACCACCAATGTGCCCACAAAATGGAGATATCTATGATACATAAACTACTCCCTTTCTCTTTCATTCCAACACAGAATCCCAGAAAGGCTTCAGCACTCAAGGTTCTAAATACCACAAAAAGCAGAAAGAGGAAAGCATGAAGGCACAAA